CCTGCGAGGTCACGCCCACCGGGCCCCGCCTCCGCGCAGGCTCCGGGCTGGGGGCGCTGCCCTGCTAAGTAAGGTCTCTCCACCTGGCGTGGGTCGGGCTGGCCTAGTGTCCTCCCAGACTCAACCGGGTCAAAGCTCATCAAGTCAACTTCGCAAGGCCTGCGCCCTCTTGTCCTGCAGAAGTAGAGTTGCAACATAAAATATAGGACGCCCTGTTAAATTTGCGTCTCAGATAACGAATAATTCTAACATCTTTATTCCAGAGGATCTTCCTGGAAGGGAGAGGGACAGGCCCCACTTCCCTCCATAATACATTACACCGCGAGTGTACAGCATATTTACTTCCTGTGTCAAAGGATAATCTACCCCCCACACCAAAAAAAAGTCATGGCTCCCATACATTATAGAATGAACACGTGTTAAATATTTTCTCTTTAAGTAACGGAACCAAGCAGATGCTACAGTCTGTTCAAAAGTAAGAAAAAGGGCAAGTTTATAGAGAATAAAGGAATGTTAGAACAGATGCACAAAGGGGCACAAAACTAGCTATCCATCCAGCACACAGAATTAATTTCCATGTTTACAGACAAGAATTATTTGCATTGCTATCAGTTATATACAACTAACAGTTGTAAAGGCATTTGAGATAGTGAAACAAAGGGGAGGAACTGGAAAGATATGTTCGGGCACTTAATAGACACAGAATAATTCTTGGTGGAAACTGAATCCTCTGGCACTCCTTACTCAGCTCTAAACACCAGATAGAAGCTAACTGTACCTCAATTCCTTCTTTGCCACTGCATACCTTTGCATGTTCTGTTCCCTCAGCCTGGAACATCTTCCCTCTGTTGCCTGGCAAACTCAGGGTTGGGCTGCCAGATTTAGCCAACAAAAATGTAGTAATTCCAGTTGAATCAGATTTCAAACAAACAACAAAGAATTTTTTTAATTGAGAAATTATCATATATTTGTGTCAGGTGTACATTATTTGATATTTGTATATATTACAAAATGATCACCACAATGTATCTAGTTAATATTCAGCACCAAACATAGTTACAATTTTTTTTCTTGTGATGAGAACTTTTAAAATCTACTCTCAGAGGGTAGAGCACGAGGTTCTGAGTTCAATCCCCAGTAACTCCATCAAAAACAAATAAAAAAATAAAATCTACTCTCTTAGCATCTTTCAGATATACAATGCTGTATTATTAACTAGAGTCATTATGCTGTGTATCACATCCCCAGAACTTATATATTTTATAATTGGAAGTTGGTACTGTTTGACCACCTTCACCCATTTTGTCCACCCCCAGAAAATTATAAATAATTTCTTAGCATAAGTATGTCCCAAATATTGCATGGGACATACTTAAAAAAAAATTATTCCCGAGGGGTGGGAAGGGACTGGGATTTCAAAATATAGAATAAACAAGACTGTACTGTGTAGCACAGGGAAATATATACAGGATCTTGTGGTGCCTCACAGCAAAAGAAAATGTGACAATGAATGTATGTATGTTCATGTATAACTGAAAAATTGTGCTCTACACTGGAATTTGACACAACATTGTAAAATGACTATTACTCAATACAAAAGTTTATATAATAAAAAATTATTCCCTGTTTATCTGAAATGAAAAGTGAAAAACCACCACCCAGTTTCTTCTCAAAGAAGCATTTCCTGACTGGCTCCCCCCACCCAAGGATATCCACATCCCTGCAATCACTTTGCTTGCCCCCCAACCTCTTAACTATTATTAACTGTTAATCACCCATGAGATTGTGACCTCTTTGAGGTGGAAGGCTTATCTTTCGTTCATTTCTGTTTTATTTTTAAAAGCTTAACACACTGAATGACTGAATGAACAACAATCTGGGGACTGAGCCCCCACCATCCATAAGGCTTTGTCTAATTCCTCTCCACACTCCCAGGCCTAAGAGGGCCTGGCACACAGTAGGTGTTTGTCAAGTGAATGAATGAGGACAGGATTGAATGGACTCAGCCAAGTGGGGTTCCCTAGATAGAGAAGGCCTCCCTTTCCTTAGCTGGGCTCTCCTACTGCAATCAGGTTTGGCGGAGGGGTAGAACAGAGGGCACTCCAGCCTGGAGGGAAAGGCTGGGACCCCAACATTTTGCCCAGATCTGAAGGCTAAGTTGGAGATCCCCAGGGCATGATAATGAGCTTAACAAGGGCCAAGCCACACTTGTACTGCCTTCTTTGCTTAAAAAAAAACATATCCTGTAATTCACTAGTGAAAATAGTAACCACAAATGATGTGAAGTTTCTGAACACTGCAAAACAGTATCGTAACTAAACATAGTGACTGTGTGCTTCACTGCTCACCCTGGCCATTCGATTCAATTAGATGTGTGTTGGGCCTTTCACGCAACAATATTAACTGAGCACCTACTGTGTGAAACAGGCGCCATTCTCAGCACTGGGGGTTCAGTGGTGAACAAGACAGGTGAGTCTCTGTCCTGGTGGACTTAACAATCGGACACTAGCAAATAACTGCAGAATGAATTACACAGTTCTTTACACAATCAATTCTGACTGCATGCTGACGATTAATGACAGGAAAGAGAACTTCTGGGGGGAAGTCAGGGGCTCTCCTGAAGAGATGGTAATGAACCTGAGATCTGAAGGCTCAGGCAAAGGGCAGGAAGAGCAGGTGGGCAAGTGTTCCAGACAGAACGGCAGCACCAAGGATGGCCTATGTTGCTGGAGACCAGAGAAGGGGGCGTGTGTGTAGCAGGTACAGATGGATGAAGTGAAGTTGGAAAGGTGGACGGGGCTCAGGCTATGGTGACAAAACATGGCTTTCTTGTTTCTCTCCTTTTCCTACCAGGGCTCCCTGCTTGTGGGCTGACCCTGCTGAAATCTCTCTTCAGCAACGCTGCCGGACTGATCCTTCGAGAAAACACAAATCTGATCATGTCACTTCTCTACTCAAAACATTTCAGTGGCTCCTCACCTTCTACTTCATGAAGACTCAACTCTTTGTCCAGGAAGCCAGCCATGTGGCTCAGGGAAAAGCTGGCCCCACCTCCAGCTCTGGGTCCCACTGATCTGTGGGGACTCCCCACCCACCTCCGCAGAAGGGATGGGTTCAGAATGGGGAAGTTGAGTCGGGGAGAGTGCTGGAGAAGTCTCCTTGCTTTTAGGGAGACAGCCATAGAAAGCCACGCTCTCTCTGACCAGACACGAAGGAGGAAGTGCAGAAAGACATTTTAGGCAGCCAATTGTGAGCTCAAAGAAGCAACCCAAGGCTGTTGCTGATGCCAGGCCAGTAGGGCAGAGATGGAAAGACCCTGGGTCCTCACTGATGTCACTGAGCGCTTAATTAACCAACCCCAGAGCCAGCCTTCCTCTGAACTTCCTGCTATGAGGGATACCAAATCTTCTTGTTTAAGCTGGTTTGAATCTGGATTTTTTGTTATTTGCATCAAATAGCACCCTGATACCCTTAACCTGGCAAAGAAGGGCTGTTTGGATTTCCTCTCTGCCTGGTTTCTCAGCCACTTCTACCAAGCCCTGAGTTCCTACCCTTGACTCCAATCATGCCCAACTCAATGAACATTTTTTTCATCTCTCTGTTTAAAATACCCTTCCAACCTCCATCACCCTGGAAACTCCTACTCATCCCTCAGAACCCAGTTCAAAAGTTACTTCATCTGTAAAGCCCTTTGACATCCATCAACAGATTAAAAGTTTTCCTCTCTGCACCCTGTAATTACCCAGAAGGTCCTCATTTTCTAAGTATTTATTATTCTGGTCTCTGGGGAAGGTAGGGAATTTTATCATGAGATAAAAATATTAACTGATCAATTAGACAACTTCTAATTTTAGTTTCTACTAAACATCCCTCTATATTGAACCATGCCATCTATCCCACCCTTCACTTTGAAGTCTCTGTCAAAGGTCAGGCTCTCACAGATAACTGGAGTCAATGCAATTTATAGGCAATGGACCAGATCTCACAAGAGACATGATTCCTCAAAGTCAATGAAAGTGAAACTAGGAAACTGCTGAAATCAGGTAGAGTTAAACCAGCTGATGATGACTACTTCTGAAGAAACTGATCTGACTCATGAAGCTCTCAAACATGTGTTCAATCATGAGATCTTTATATGACTCCCTACTACATGTCAGGCAGTGTGCCAGGAGCTATGGTTACAACCAAGAGTAAGTCTCTGCCTGCCTTAATCTTACCTTCTTTAGAATCAGACAGACAATAAACATGTACAAACACACTACATAATTTCATATAGTAATAAGCATTATGAAGAAAAAAATAAACTAGGATACAGGCAATATGAATGAGGTTCCAAATTTGGCTACAGAATAATAGTGATCTCCTGGCAAGGATACTCTCTAAACTCTATGGAAAGAGAATACACTCAGGGGAAGGAACCCCTCTCCCCATCACTAGAGGGTCTCCTGCAGCCATGATCATATTACATGACTCTGTCCCACTGGCCAGAGTTTACTGGACCAGGGGTAGACAGCTGACCCAAGATAGGCCAATCGGATTCTCTCTTGGGAATTTGGATGTGGAATACAAGTTATATGATTGGCAGTGTAGGAGAGGGGAGATGATTCAGTCCTAGGGCTGGGGCAGTCGTTGGACAAGTGCAGAGACAAGAGAAAGCCAGCCTGCAGAAGCAAGATGAGAGGGCAGACACCCAGATAGAGATGAAGGTTAGAAACTGTGCAGTCTCAGAGACAAAGGTGAGTGTGTTGGGTCCTAATGGGTTTCCAGGTAGATTCCAGCCTCTTGTAAGGCCCAGTTGAAAGTTTTGACTTCGGATCTGTGACTCCTAATTCTTCCAATAAATTACTTTTCATGGTTTAAGTTTGAGTGTGTTTCTGTGCCTCACAACCAAGATCATCAATTCTAAGAAGGAAAATACTGGTGACAAGGATGGTGACAGTTTTTGTGTGTATGTGTGTCAGGGGATTAGGTTTATTTATTTATTTTTGGAGCTACTGGGGACTGAACCCTGGACCTTGTGCATGCTAAGCACATGCTCTGACACTGAGCTATACCCTCCCTACCAGGGAGTTTTTAAAATTTTACATATGTCATCTGTTTTGATTCTTATAATTCACTGAGACAAGTACTATTGTGTCCATCTCACTGATGAGGAAACTGAGGTATAGAAGTCACACAGTAAGTAGCTGACCTGATTTCTGTGTCTAGACAGTTGGCCTTCATTGCCTTTGCCACTACACTATACTCCAAAAAAATAGTGGGGGATTGACTTGAGGTTATTTAAAATCTGTGAAGACCTTTCATACATTCCTTCTGCTCTTGAGCAAAATGGCTGGTCCACAGGATACACGCTGCTTTGCAGACAACTCACTCCAACTGAGGAAGTGGCAGCAGCTTTATCAACTCAGCATTTTGACCCCTCACGTTGTGAAACAGTCACGTTCCCTAACCAGGAGCCAGCTTCTCTGGTATCATTCATCCATTAAGAGTTGATGTTGGACTCTGGATTGTCACAAGGCTGAACTTAATCCTCGCTTTGCCTCATACGAAAACCTCAGAAGAGTTAATTAACTTCTCTAAGCCTCAGTTTTTCTATCTATAACATGGAAATAATAATAATAATACCTCTCTGATGGGGTTGTGAGTTTTAAAAGAGATGATGGACTAACATGTTTACCAGCATTAATTCGAAACCCAGAAGTGGTCAAGGCTCATGTAAATGCAGACTAACTCACAAGTATTACTGTTCTGTGCCCGCTTCTGTGGTCAAACCTATTGTTTCTGCCATTTCCCCCTTCTTCTGGAAAAAGCACCCTACATCTTGGGAACTTCTCTGTTGGATCATCTCTGGGAGACCACCTATTCCTTGCTGAGAAATGGTAACGTGATCTCAGTTAGCCCAAGCAGACACTCTTCTTAGAATCTGAATCTTTAGCTGAGTCATCCAAAACGGAAGGGAAAAATACAAACAGAGAAGTCAACACCAAAAAATAGAGTTCACTTGTCCTCAGTGAAGAACGCACACAAGACTGGCTATGAGCTCCTGCTGCCCGTGTGACCAGAGTTCTCCTGGCTCCTGTCTTTTCTAGACCTGGGTCTTTCGCTTTCCCATTGTTTTTTATTTATATATTGAAGTACAGACAATTTACAATGTTGTGTTAATTTCTGGTGTACAGCACAGAGATTCAGTTGTACATACATATATTCCTTTTCCTATATCTTTTCATTATAGGTTGTTACACGGTATTGAATATTGTTCCCTGTGCTACACAGTAGGTCCTAACTGTTTATCTGTTTTGTATATGGTAGTTTGTATCTGCAAATTCTGAACTCCCAATTTATCCCTGTCTACCCTTTTCCCTCTGGTAACCATAAGTTTGTTTTCTGTCAGTCTGTTTCTATTTTGCAAGTAAGTTCATTTGTGTCATTTCCTTTTAGATTCTCATTTTTATGAGTGATATCATATGGTATTTTTCTCTTTCTGGCTTATTTCACTTAGTATGTCAATCTCCAGGTCCATCCAAGTTGCTGCACATGGCATTATTTTATTCCTTTTCCCATAGATTTTTTAATATTCTCACTCAGTTAAACTCCCATTAACTTAAACTCTCCACTAAACTTAAGTTAGGCAGAGGTGGTTTCTATTGCTCGCGATTAAAGGACTTTATCTCATGTACTTTTCAAGCAAAGATTAGGTCTCCATGAAGCTCAACAAATTCTTTAATCCCCCTTCCCTCCTCTCCTGGACAAGGAGATGGTATTAGCTAACTACTGTTGGGTAACAATGATCCCAGAACCAAGAGGCTTTAAACAATAAACATTTATTATCTCATAATCTGTGTGTATCTGAAACTCGGGAGCAACTTTGCTTTAGTTCTGGCTCAGGATGTTTCAAGAAGGCTGCAGTCAGATATCAGCCAGGGCTGAGGTCACCTGCATGCCTGACCGGGGCTGGAGGACCAACTCCCCAGACAGTGCATGCTCACAGAGCTGCTGTCAGGAGGCCTCCGTTCCCTGTGTGCCTCAGTGTCTTCACGATGTGGAAGCTGGCTTCCCGCAGAGTAAGGGATTCAAGAGAACAAGATGGAAGCTGTGACGGATCACAGACAAGTCACCCCTACTCAGCGTGAATGCCAGGAGGCAGAGATGACTGGGGGCCACACAGGGAAGCCTAGAAGTCCTATAGGGGGTCTTTGAGGCTGGCCACCATCCTCCTTTCAACTTTAGCTACTCCTAGTCATCCCAAGAAGAACATCTCATTTCAGAAACCCACAGACAGGGATTTACCAATAAGGGTGGAAGGAGGAGGTGGATATGAAGAAAAAGATGCAAAACAGGCAGGGTGGAGGTCTCCAGTCCAAGGACCAGGTCTAGAGAACTGGAAAAGAGGGAGAGACAGCCCTTAGGGAAGGGGGACACAGGCTGCCCAAATCCAGGGGAAAAGAGCAGCATAAAACCTAAGTGTCCCCCTGGGGCAGATGAGGAGGTTCTCCCCTTACAAGCCCCAGAGAAAGTCTGACAGCTAATTCAGCCCTGCTTGTCAATCACCCCGCACTGCTCCAAATTCAAACTGGCCTGAGGGCAGGACACTGAGTCCAGTTGCTGCCAAGCTGTTATATATGGGCTGAATTGTCCCCCTCTTCAAAACCTGTATGTGGAGCCTGAAGGCCCCCACCCCAGGGTTGTACTCCAGAATGTGGCTGAATTTGCAGATAAGGCCCTTAAAATCGGGCCTTGATCCAATCTGATTGGATTAAGTCTCCTCTCAAGACGAGGGTATTTGGACACACAGAGAGATACCAAGGGCACACACAGAGGGAAGACCAGGTAAGGTGAGAGCAAAAAGGTAGCCATCTGCAAGCCAAGGAGGGAGGCCTCAGGAGAAACGAAACCTGCCAACACCTTGATCTTGGACGTCCAGCCTCCAGAGCAGTGAGAAAAAAATTTTCTGTTGTTGAAGCCACCGGTCTGTGGGATTTTGTAATGGCAGCCGGAGCAGATTATAACAGGAGTCCTCTGGACTGCTCTGTGCAGCAGCCCCTAACCTCTGCTGTGCACTCTGGTGTGAGAACCAGACATGAAGCCTTCCTTTCTAGAGTCAGGGAACAGGTGAGAGGGGGCTGGGTGTCCCTGGCCACCTGATGAGGACAAGCCCGCCATATATGCACCTGTGCGCCCGTTTTCACTCCGGTTCTTTCCACAAGCTTCCGAGGGGGCCCCAGGCCTCCGGCTCCTCCCCGCTGACGGCAGTTCCCAGGAGAGCAGGTTCCTGCCTGACCGCCACTGCCCCGCACACCTTCTCTCTAGCTGGAAAGCACCTTCTGTATTCGTTCCCGCACTTCCTTTGGTCCCAAGGACACCATCATCTCAGCTACAGGTGGTCCTTGCTAAGAACAAAAACAGAAAACACTCAACTTATTTAAACTGCCTGAGGAAATAACACCCAGCCTCAGTCTGCAGAAGGCACATCCCAGGCCAGCCCCAGCACTGCTGCCCGCATTCCCAGGAGCAGCGTTTGCATTTTATTGGCTTTCTGAGGCTGAGGATGGGTCCCAGAAGCCCGCCCTTCCTGGGTTGGTATGTCTGTTACCCCCAATTAACCGCCAGCTCCTTGAAGGCGGGGAGCGCATGTGTTTTATCACTACTGTATCCACTGAACCTACCACGGTCCTGCCCATGGCAGGTACCCAGTAAGTATCGTCTGCTGAATGACTGCATGAGGGAGTGGGCATGTTTCATTCATCTGTGTAGCCCTAAAAAGGAGCTTAGTGCTGCCAGTGAATGTTAGCTGACTGGATGAATGAGACTCCACAGCATAGTCCAGCCCAGCTGCCCGCCTCACCAGCTGTCCGCTGAGGGCCACTCGGAGGAGCTTCATCATGTGACTATGCTTGGTGCCTTCCAGACTTTCTGACAGCTTCTTCAGTTCTCTGTTCAGCACGTCCTGAGTTAAGCTTGTGCCAGATCCTTCCAGAAGCCTAGAAGAGGGCAGGTCTGTAAGGGGCCTCCAAGGGCCAATGGCAAGTGGGTGGAAGAAAGAACTTCATAAAGTTATCCATCAGCTATAAGATAAATCAACAGCACAGCCAATGGTGAAGCCCGCGTGGGAGAGGGGCGGAGGGAGGGAGTATCTACCACCCCCAGCCCCATCCTAGCTGGGGAAGAGACACCAACCAAGGGACTACAAACACAGAGAATCCAGGCGAGTGGGCATAATATAGAGAAACTAAAAGGATGCCATAATAAGAGGATTTACTAATTGCCACCTCTCCGTCATGTAATCTTTATGCCTCAGTTTTCTTTCTTGTTAAGTGGGGATAATAATAGTGTCTGCACCTCACAGGGCTATGGTGGGGCTAAGTTAAAACTTGTAAAGCACCAAGTACGTTGCCTGAACAGATGCCAAGTGCTCAAAAGTATTAGATCTGGGGGGAGGGTATAGCTCAAGTGGTAGAGTGCATGCCTGCCATGCACAAGGTCCTGGGTTCAATCCCCAGTACCTCCTCCTCCAAAACAAACAAACAAACAAACAAACCTAATTACCTCCCTCCCCCCATCAAAAACAAAAAGTAAAAAATTATTAGATCTTATATTCTAATAAAAAGTTAAGTATTTGCTAGCATTACATCCAAGAGCTCAGAGACACAGAAGGACACTTAGGAATAGGTTAGACACAGGATGGAAGAACGAAGTGCTCTGGGAATTGGCTTGAAACACAGTTTCTAGACTTCTGGTGGATGTAGCAGAGAGGAGCAAAAAGAAAGAAATCAGACATAACACTTCTCTGCCCACAAACTAGAACACCTTAAGGATCTAAACTCCAAAGGGCCAGCAAGCACTCCCCACTTTCCTGGGAGTCCAGCCGAGATCCTCTCCCAAAAGCACATCTGAGTTCAAGAGAAATTCCTCAGAAATTCCTCAAGCTGCTCTAGCAGGACTTGCGAAAACTTGGTCCCAGCCCTGATTCTGAGTTAGAGCAAGAGACGGGAACAAGGTGGGGGCAGTCTATCCACACCCAAAAGAGATTGAGGCTGGAGATGCTGACCAGTGCAGACGATTCATGACGCCAACCCTGACACCGCCTGCTTATGACAGGGCCCAGACACCACATTCCGCACGTCGCCACGGCCCAGGGTACTGGGACAAATGACCTTTTACTGCAGATTTCCTTCGTCCCTCCAGTACCTGAGCAATTCAGGATCAATTTGAGAAACAATCATTTTTACTGCATCTTAAAACTGGATCAACGGGGTAATTATTATTTATGAAATGGAGGAGAGGAAATATTGAAAATACAAAACGTAATGTGGGGAAAAAAACCAGACATGCTCCTCAATGTCACCGTGGGGAAGCGGGCTGCCGAGGAACTGATGAAAGAGTGACAGGCGCCAGGCGGCCAACCGTGGCAGCCAGACACGTCAGAGCTAGCCCAGAGCTTGGCCTGGGCACAGAAGGGACTTCGAGAGATCTGGCAGCCTCTAAACATTTGGGTGTCAGCTTTCCTGCCTTGAGTTGGAGCCCCAGAGTGTCTTTAAAATCTAATCCCGTGGCAGGGATGGGGAGTTAAGACATTAGTCCAGTGAACTCGGACTAACAGGCCCTACTGTGGAATGTCCTAAATTACGGGAGTGTTATTATTAATAATAGCTCTTAGGAATTTATTCTGGAAATAAACTTGCAAAGGTGTTCACTGATGTCTATTCAAGGTTATTTGCTGTGGCATCATGTGTAACAGCAAAATTTGGAAGCAATCCAACTGCCCATCAAGAGGAGATGAGTTAAATAAATCATGGTAAAGTGGCAGGTGCAGCCGAGAAGGGACTGAGGATGCTCTCTAAGCTCAGGACGGATCTAAAGACATATTGTTAAGTGAATAAACAGAGAAACAAGCAAAAAAAAACAAACAAAAAAACCCCCAAAAAGACACTTAGGGAATATAGACATTATTTTGTAAACTTTAAATGGAGTATAATCTATAAAAATTGAATCACTATGTTGTATACCTGAAATTAATATAATATTTTAATTCAACTACAATAAAAAAAATGAAAAAAAAAAACAAAAGCGATATTAGTGTTATTGTATTGTACCTTTCGTGCAAAAAAAGGTGGAAAATAAGAATGGTTATTTAGATATAATTAAGAATAGTAGTAACATCCAGAGAGGGTTCTGGAATGGGGCAGACGGGGAAAAGGGATTAAAAACAGGACTCCCAATATGTACCTTTTTAAAAAATTCCTAAGTCATAAGCTCAGGTTTAAGAGGTTTCAATGTTTTAGTAATAATTAAATTTTACATTTTAAAAAACTTAGAAGAATGGAGTTACATACACATTTCCATGAACATGGACACGTCACAAGGTGCTAAGAGGGGCTGCCTTTGTGCTGGGGGCTGAGGAGGAGGGAAGACTTGTTTTTGGCTATAAACCCTCTTACATTGGTGGTTATTTTTTGCCACATTACTTATACTCTCACCTCTTCAAAATGTATATTATAACAACATACAGAATATGTCATACGTATTATAATAATATACTCATTTGAGGCACTCACTGTCCAAGCACTTTACCCCACGGAGAAGCAACAGAGAATACGGTTAGATATGTGGTCTCTCGCCCCAGCCAGCTCGGGTTTCAATCTCTGCTCCTCCAACTTACTAGCTGTATTATTCTAGACAAGTTTCTGAGCCTCTCTGTGCCTCGATTTTCTCATCTGTAAAAAGGGGATTATAATAGCAGTTACTTTATTAGGCTGCCAAGAATTTAAGTGCATACACGCACACATAGCACACATATGTGTGTATGTGTCTAACATATAAAACACAACATAGCACGTTGCAGGCATGTGTGTAAGCCAACATATGCATAAGTGTTTGCTATTATTACCTAATTTAATCTTCACAACAAAGCCAGGAGGTAAGTAAAATGGACATTTGTGGGGTTTGCCGCTCAGCATCCATCCCACCTTTTTTCTGTTACCAATGCCTCAAATCTCCCTGCGGAATTACTCAGCTTGCATCCTCAGCCCACAAACTTTGGCCGGGGGTCCACTCAGGGCCCCGCATCCGACCTAACCTAAGCTATTAAGCATGTCACATTCTCCAGGCCTGGTGACTAGTTTGGGAGCAGAAAAACCAGGCCCATCAGGCCCCATCAGTGTGAATCTCAAGACACAGCCTTAGTCTGAGGCTGAGGTTTTGCACGTGGAGCTGCCCCAAGGCTGTCTTCCCACCACAGCAGAGACCGAGAGAGAGGCAGCTTATGATCCCCGGATCCTTTCTCCCTCTCACGAGTATTAATAATTTTTAGCTGGGCAGATGGTGGCTAAGGTAAAATCGACACTTCCCAGCCTCCCTTGTCACTTGGCGTGGCCACAGGACAGGCGCTCGAGCCAGTGGGATCTGGGCGGAAACGAGTGTGTACTTTTAAGTCAAGTCCTTGAGGGAAGGGAGCTTCCTGTCCCCCTGCCCTTTTCCTCCTTCCTCCTCTGGCTGAATCGTGAGCCACCATGGACCACGGGGACAAGAGCAAAACCTAGGGACCACAGGACCCTGGAGATGTGGAGAAAAGCTGTTCAGCCCTGAACTGCCCACTCCGAAGGCAGGTAAGGGAGAAGTGCACTTGTCTGTCTGGCAGAGAGTCCCACCCTCCATCTACCTTACACAGATCCTCTGCAGAAGCCGTAGCCACACGGGGCAGAAAGTCAAAGGGACTGAGGGAGAAAGTCGGTTTTGGTGACATATTTTTGGTCCCTGCATTGATCTGGGCTTCAAGTCAGCCCTTCTAGCCTCTGCAATGACACAGACCAGTCATTCCCCCCTTGCTTATGCCAGCTTTGGCTGCATTTTCTGCCCTTGTAATCTAAAGAGTCCTGTTACTCTCACAGTAACAACTAGTATCACCTCCACCCTGCAGAGGAGGAAACGGAAGCTCAAAGAAGCTGCAGTAACTTGGATGAATTGAAGTCACTTGGGCAGGTGAACTAACTGGGCCAGTGAGTGGCGAGGCTGGAGTGAAACCCAGATGGGTCCAGTCCCAGAGCCAGAAGACACTGCCTCTTCCGGGGAGAGCCCAGCTGCTCGAGGTGAGCCCTTCTACCAAGATAGAGCGAGCGATTATCCCATCAAGAACCTCTCACCAGCTCCAGGGTTGTACTGAGGGCCTCACAGCCAAGCCCTGAAGTAAAGGGGGCCCTGGGAGGGAGGGAGTAGAACCTCGAGCTCGGCCTGGGGAAACTCACCCCAGCACTCGCTCAGCAATGACATCCACCTTCTCGGAGATGGCGCCCAGCTGTGCCCGACTCACGGCAGGACGAGTCCACAGGTAGGAGTGCACTGGGGAGACCAAATCCTGCAGGCGGCAGATGTGATGCTGGGGAAAGAGGTGGTCACTGACTACTGGGGAAGCGGGAGGAGTGGAGCGCCAGCCACTCCATCCGTCTCCCCGAGCTCTCCATCCCACACCTGTCTCAGCAGGATGATCCGCTCCACGTAGGCTGGGTCCAGGACGTGCCTGTCTTGCAGCTGGCTCCCAAACACCTCCTCCACGAGGGCCTGCAGCTTCCCCACCAGCTGGCGTCTCTGGGTCTCCTCGCTCACCAGCCGGCAGAGGTGCAGCCTGCAGAGGAGCCAAGAGACCATCCTGCTGCCGGCATCTCCAGCCCAGTCAACCCTCCTCCCCAGGGGAGCAAGAGGGTTTGAAGATGACACCTTATGTGAGCTGCCCTCCCTCCATCCTGGCTGGAGCAGAAGGGATGCTGTCGACTGACAGTCACTCCAGTCTGCCGGTCCCTCTGCTCCCCGGGTCTCTCACTTGGCCCACCGCCCTTCCCTATGCTCCTTGCCTGGCCTCTACCTGCACCAGAGTTTACAAAGCAGACCTGAGAGTGCCTGCCTCCTCACAGAGTTTGAAGCATGGGGCTCTGGCACAAAAGGGCAGAGGGTAAGAATATGGATTTCTAAGATTTAGGGCCACAAGGCGGTACAGAAGGCAGAGCTGTTCGAATTCAGGGCTCACGGTTAAAAAGTTCAAGTTTTCTTGTCAGGTCAATTTTCTCCTTTTCAGCATTCCTCTGTTTTGTTCTCTCCTTCAGAAGCAGCAGAGCTCTAAGACTCTGACCCTCTGCCCAGGCACTGTCAGTCCTCAGTCCCTAGGCCACCCTCACCCTGTCTCCAGCAGGACTGGGGGGTCCCAGGGGCGAGAGCAGCGCAGGGCCGAGCATTCTGTAGGTGCTTGGCCCCCATTCCTGGTGTAGGAAAGAAAAACAGGCAGCAAGGGATGGGTGATGATCTCATGGGCTCTGAGATAGGACAGGCCTGGGAGTGAAGCCAGCCCTGCCAGATGTCTGTCTGCAGCAAGTTACACAGCCATTCGGCGTTCAGGGCGCTGTAACTGTGGGGACACGGGGCCTCGCTCCCAGGGCGCCGGGCAGAGCAAACGAGGGATTATCTGTAAGGCTGTGAGCACGAGGCTGGAGCCGGGCAGGGAGACTGAGCAGAGGCGTGGGCAAGACAGAGGGTACAAGGATGAGGCCCTCTGGGGAAGTTATCTGGAGCACGTATTGGCCCCAAAACATCATTTTCTACAAAGAAATGAAGAAAAACCACATGAAATTTGTACTGAACCTCCTGAGTACTAGAAGAGAAAGTGGGAAGAAAGAAATCAAGGGACCCTAGTGGCCAGGCTTGAGGTAACCCATGGAAGGTCCAGGGCCTGGAACACAGCAAGTGCGACAAAGCTGTCAGCTACTGTTGCTACCGCCACCCCGCCGCCAGTGCTGCCGTGACAGCTACTGTTCTGTCTTTACTACTGTTACTGAAGTCACCACAGCAGTGGCTTGATCACAGAAACAACCAAAGAGCTCCGGCCGCATTAAACCCGTGGGCAGCCATCTCAAGGCCACATCCCCTCCCCGGTTCACACGAAGCAAAAGCCCACCTCCATCTTCCTCAGGCTCCCCCTCGTGCTTTGGGGTGACTGGAAGGGGTCACAAAGCATCTCCCCTGTGCCGACCCCATTCCCCTAGGGGATACTGCTCTCTCCCTGATGAGAAAGGTACAGCACGAGCTGCGTTCAGCATGCATGCTGTATTTGCTCCTGAGCGCCCCATGCAAGACATGCTCACTGTCTACTGCGTGAACTTGGTCTTGGGCTGGTTACTTAACTTCTTGATGCCTTGATCTCATATGCACGACAGGGCAAATTCATACAACTGACCTTAGGTCTGATGAGGGAAGTAAGTGAAGTAATATCCTTAATACGCCTCAGCTGATGTGAATTCCCCGGGCTTATACGGGTAAAGTACCAAGGAAAGCCTGTCCCCAAACCAGAGCTCGCGAGAAGGCCTTGAGGAGTCCCCGCCCTCTAAGTACAAAGCCGTCCGCCGGCTTTACCGCTGATGCCCTCAGACTGAGACATGACATCAGCGATCCAGACTGCAGCTGTGGCTGGAGGTTTCAGAGGGAGGAACTACTTGAAATGTAAACCAGAAGCCAGGGGACAGCGCACTCACTGTGGCAGCCAGGCGGGGGAGGGGCTGATCAGGAATAATGGACGGCAGAAACACTAGCCGCCATTTACTGAGCACTTTCTCCTTGAGAAACACTTTGATGCAGCATTTAGCTGAACTGAACTCTTACAACCGCACAAGGTGGGGACCGTTACTAGCCCCATTTTAGAGAGGCTCAAAAGGGTCAGGTGACTTACCATTAGATCCTCCGCCGTGGGGACCCAGCACCAGCAGGAAAACCCTTTTCTATGAGGGGGCTCTCCGGAGTCCCGCTCACCTGTTGAATTCCGGGAGCTTCTCCAGGTCCAGCAGGGCTGAGTGGCAGGTGATGCGGGTCAGGTCGAACTGTGTGATCAGCTCCGGCAAGGTCCTGCCCATCTGGTTCTCTGCAGGTGAGGCAGGACCAGCTGCTCAGCCCCACCCTGCTTCCATGTTCAACCACAAGGGAGGCTGACCAAAGGGATTCGACTTCTGGCTACTTTATATATCCAGGGCCTGAATGAGCTTCCTTTTGCAGAAAGGGTTCTGTCACTAAGGAAAAAAAAAGCTGGAAAACAACCTGGCTAACCTGACCTTCAGTGCCCTCAATGACACAGGAGCCCCAAGAACAGTCAGCTCACTGCCTGGCTGTGCCCCAGGGATCCGGACTCGACTGGGTGTGGACGGGTCTCAGTGGGAGTGTATTTTACAAGTTTCCTGGGTGATTTCAAAGAGCAGCCCGAGTGAGAACTGCTGTGCCCGGGGCTGCTTCTCCCGAGCAGTGACTCCATCCTATGCGCTCAGAGGCCATCCTGGTCAGGCTCAGGCCCAAAGTGAGCCTCTGCCACGTCCCTCACTAGTTGTGACTTTGACAAGTTACTCAGTCTCTCTGAGCCTCATAATCTTCTTCAAACAGTGGGGAAGATAAACACCTCTCAAAGATATTTTAAAGCTTAAACGAGAAAAGAGCAGAATAAGTAGTAACAGATTACATTATGGCTACATTTTCAGCAATCACCTCCCAAAGGGTCATCCTATTTGGTCCTTCTTCAAGATTTGGGCCCTAAGTCTTGGGCTATGGATAAGGGTTCAGCTTGGAATAAACTAGGGTCATAGTAATCCTAGTAATGCTGTCCGAGTACACATTTGCACTAGCAGCAATAATATAATTACAAAAGTCACAGCATCTGGAATTTTTGTGCTTATTGTGTTGCGGATATTGCAGTGGTGCCTCGTACTCAGGAGCTCAGTGAATCCTAATTTAACTCTATAATGTAGACACTTAACCCCATTTTACAGACAGGGAAACTGAGGCTCAGAGACCAAAAGCTCCTTGAGGGCAAGGATTGTATCTATCTTGGTCACTGTTGTAGCCCCAGAGCTGAACAGTGTCTGGCTAAATAAACACTTGAATAAAAGGTGAACTTGTATGAGATCACACAGCTGGGAGGTGGCACGGCCATGACTGAAGGCCAAGTGGCCTGAACCAAGGCCCCGACCCCTCACGCTATGGCCCCACCAGGACCTCTCAGGAGAGTAGGTACCTGCAAACCCTGAGCCGCAGTTGGTGATGATGTCGAGCAAGGCATCTGGCAGGAAGCCGGCGGCAGCAAAATGCTCCAGGAAAATGTCCCCTTGCCTCTTGGACAGCTTGCTGCCATCCCTGTTGAGAAGCAGGGGCAGGTGGGCAAAGTGTGGGGGCCGCCAGCCGAGGGCCTGGTAGAGGAGCAGGTGCTTGGAGGTGGAGACCAGCCACTCGGAGCCCCGCAGCACGTGGCTGATGCCCATGTGGTGGTCGTCCACCACGCAGGCCAGGTGGTACGTGGGGAAGCCATCGCTCTTCAGGATGACTGGGTCCCCCTCCACGCTGGCCACTTCATGCCGATTCCAGCCATACACCAAGTCCTGGAAGGCTGGCGTCTCTCCCTCCAGGCGGAAGCGGACAGCAGGCTTGGGGTCGGTGGCCAGCTTCTGGGCCACCTGCACTGAGCTCAGGTTCCGGCACCGATTGTCATACCTGTGGGGAAGCAGACAGCACAGTAACTATGAGTCACTAAGGGCCCCGGTGACTGGCATGAGTTCTGCCTTGGTCACTGATAACTGCATGACCTTGGGCAAATCATTCACCTCTCTCAGCTGTCTCATCAGTCTTGAATGGGGACAATAAGGTTATTGTGTGGGAGAACTGAGTGAGACAACGTAGCACAGCAAACACAAGCTGGTCTCCCTTCTTTCTTGCTAACGAGGAAATGTCAAAGTCCCAGGCCAAGGGGGTGACTCATGGGCGAACCGTGACTGGTGCAGCCACCACGCAATCCCATTCCCCCGCCCCACTGACCAGTCCATGTAGGATCCTTCTAGTCACTGAGATTCAAAGAAAAGTATGCCTGGCGGGTAGGGGAGGATTAAGGTTCTAGGAAAGATTCTCTGTCCAAGTGAGAGTGAGCTGCAAGCTGCGGCAGCCACTTGTAACTGACGGTGGGAGGCGGAGATGAGGGAGCCAGAAAGTGGCCAAAACAGAATCCCAACTTCTCAAAGCTGCTACTTTCATCCCGGAGTCACCCCCCTCCAAGACTTTCACAGAATGAGAGGCTAAATGTTTGTGTGGTTTACGCTCTGGCTACTCAAAGTATGGTCTGTGGCCGCCAGCATCGGCCTCACCTGGGAGCTTGTCAGAAAGGCAGCATCGCAGGCCCCAGCCCAGACCTGCAAAATCAGAAGCTGCATGTTAACTAGATGCCCAGGGGATTCTTCTGCATGCTAAAGTATGAGACACTCTGGTTTGTCCCTTTTAAACAGAGTATTTGTTACTCCCCAGAGAGTCCTAACTGATACAAAATGCAATGCTTGTAAGCACAGTCCTTGACACTGAGCCAAGTGTTCAATCATAGACGGCTGCATGGATTTTAGGATAGGGCATGACTGTAATTTTTAAAAATAATCTTCTGTCAATGGAAAAGTAGACTCCTTACAATTAAAAAAAAAGGCAATCCTGTAGTGAATGTTGTGACCTTGTACAGGTACCCGAGCTCTTGTCCAAACAGCTCACTGAAACTACAACTTGAATGTTATGATGCTGATGGGAGTCCAAGCTAGTAAAGGGCCACCAGGCAGGATCTATCAGAGTGGCAAATTGACCCGGCCATTCCAAACCTAGGGAGGTAATCCAACAAACACACGGCGCATGTGCAAAATGATATACGTCAATGCTGTTCATCATCGTTCTCTTTTTTTTGTTGTTGTTCTTCTCTTTTTATAACAAAAGATTAGAAATGACATAGGTGTTCATCAGTAAGGAACTGATCACGTAAGTCATGATATAGCCATGTGATGGAATACTATGCAAGCTAAGGAAATTTATGGACTGATACAGACTGATCCTCAAGAGAGTACATGGGATCTGTAAGCTGCATGATGCATATTTTGTGTGCAACCATCTGAGTGGGGAAGACAAGAAATCATATGCGTTCTTTAGTGTAGGCACTGCGTGTCTCCGGAGGACACGCAAGAGAATTCTAACACCACTTGTCCCCGGGGAGGTAACTGCGTAGCCAGACTCAGGGTTGGGAGAGATCTTTACATATGCGTCTTTCTAGACATGAGAAAATTTTACTTATTCAAAATAACAGACAATATAAGTTATTTTATATGGTACTGCCAGAGGCCCGATGTGGCAGGCAGAGCTGACATGGCCCCAGCAGTCGCCACGTGCTGGTGTTTCTGCCTCATGTCCTCCCTGCCCTTGAGTGTGGGCTGGACCTAGCGGCTTCCTTCTAATGAACAGAGCACAAAACAGGCAATGATATGTCACTTCCTCGATTTGGTCAGGCAGAGACAGCAGCTCCCACCTCCCTTGCTCTCTCCTGCCTTCTCTCTGCTCACCCTGAGGAAAGCCAGCTGCCAAACTGTGAGCTGCCCTGGGGAGGGGCCCAAGCGGCAAGAAACAGAGGTCTCCAGGCAATGGCCTCAGATAGAGATGGAGGCCAATCCTTCCAGGGCCCAGCTTCAGGGTAACCACAAGCCTGGCCAAGACCCTGACTGCAGCTTTGAGAGAAACCCTGAGCCAAAGGACCCAGCTAAGCTGTTCCAGACTCCTGACCCACAGGAACCCTAAGTTAGGATGTTTTGGGGTCATTTGTTACACAGCGACAGCTGACAAACACACCCAACCCTGGGGAGGTACCCATGATGGGCTGGGGCTCTCACCGGGGTGTCTGGTGGTTCCTCAGGGCCTCCTTCTTCAGGAGCTCCAGCCGCTGGGGTGAGCAGAAACAGGGGTAAGCAGCACCGCTCCTCAGCAGAGCTTCGGTGGCCTGGGCGTACAGTGCAAGTCGCTGAGACTGCAGGTAGGGCCCAGCAAGCCCTCCCCGGCGGGGGCTCTCGTCAGGGGGGATGCCTAGAACGGGCATAGAGAATAATCACCAAATGATGACTACGATGTACACGGTGCAGGTTTCAGGCACTGTTCTGTGCACTGTACACATATGGCCAAGCTTGTAACCCTCACGACTATCCATAAGGCTGTTACTCTTATGATTTCCCTTTTCCAGAGGAAAAGCTAAAGTGCAGAGAGGTTAACATTCAATGTCACATGGCTGGTTGGTAAGGAGCCAGATGGAGGTACATAGGCTCACCAGCACATCCTCTCCTGTCTTCTAGCCCCAGGGAGGGAGAAACTAGCCCCCATCTGGAAAAGCAGACTAGGGAGAAATAAGCGTAGTTCAGGGACAGCCCATCAGGGCCTGGCTGGACTCCTGGCTCTGCCCCTGACTAGCTGTGACAAGGGATCCTAAAAATATGTGAGCCCTCGAGTGCCATGCACCTGCCAGGCTGCTTTCTTTTTTTTTCTTCAGCTAAGATAGCAGAAATGATTTACTGTACATGTGTTATATTCAGCCACAACTGAAAATGGAACTAGTTCAGAACATCACAGGTCTGGGGCAAAGGACCAAAAGGGATCGCTTTGATATGAGCAAGATAGGTCTCTTAAAGGTGGTCAAGGTGATCAGAATGGCAATAGACGTTCTAGATCCATTGAGACAAGTTCTACACAGTAGGCACGCAGTCCAGCAATCTGTATCAGCATCCTTGGCCTCTGGCTTTCTTCACTTCTGCTCTAGTGGCTTCTGTGGGTGTACAAGTTTTCCTGGACCTCTGCCTCATCTTTCTTCTTCTGCACTGCAGTCTGCACATTTACTTCTCCCTCCACTTCACTCTCACGGCGCGGAGTTTTCTCAGAAGATGGTGTTAAGGCTGAGAGCCAGGCAGCTTTTATGTTTTGTGATCTCCATTAAGACTTAAAACCATCCTACCCGGTAGGTGCCGCTCACCCCTATTAAGTAAAGATGTCAAGGATAAGGCGAACAACTGCATTCACACGCAGGCTAGCCGGCCCTGGGTCCACACTCTTAACCACTGCCTGCACTGCCTCTTGCATTCCTTAGCCTCTCTAAGCCTCAGTTTACTTCTCTGTAAAGTGGAGCTAAGAGTCTCCTGTGCAAAGTGGCTGGGACTTAAATGCATCAGTGCTCACAAAAGGCTTAGCCCAATGGTCTACGTGTCTGACAGCTGCAATGTATGCTGTGAGATCAGTGTGATGTTAGAAGCCAAACCCCCAACCTAAGGTCCGGGTTCCTCAGATCTCAAAGGATAGATGTAACTCATACACGCTTCCAGGAGAGGCAAAGGGGACACAGAATAGCTGGATGATGGTGCTTCTGCCCTCACATAGCTGTCAAATGAATTAGGAAGATGAGGACACGGTTAACCCCATACACCCACTGTTAACACAAACTCCGGAGGCAGAGGGCCTGGGTTCACACGCACCGCGCTGCTCTGCGGCCTTGGGCAAACTGTCTTGCAGAGCCTCCGTCTCCTCCTTTATAAAAGAAGGAAACAAGCAGTAACTTCCTCCTGAGGGTCATCACAAGGCTGGAACGAGAGGGCCTACGGGAAGTGCTGGGCACATTGCCTGGCATGTCTGACCACTTGGAAGGTCCTGGCTGTGATTATCACCGGTACCACCTGTATTGGTATTTCTTCGTTTGTCAGAGAAGGGGGTTGGCTTCGGTGAACCCGGGGTCCTTTTTTTTGGGGGGGGGTCCCTTCTTGGCCTAACCTTAACATGTTCAGCATTTGGAACGTTCCAAGGTTTAAGAGCGACTCCACTAGGAGAACTGCAAACAGGTTCACATAAAAAATAGTACATAAAAGTTCACAGCAGTTTTACTCATAACAGCCCCAAAGTAGACACAACCCAAATGCCCACCCACTGATGAATGGCTAAGCAAAATGTGGTTTTTCCACTAATGAATGTTGTTTGGCCATAAAAAGAAATGAAGTACTGAGTCCTGCTACAACATACATGAATCTTATGCTAAGTAAAAGCCAGTCATAAAATGAAATGTTCCAAACAGGCAAAACACAGAGACAGAAAGTAGGTTAGTGACTGCCAGGGGTAGGAGGGAAGGAGGAAAAGGGAGTGACTGCTAATTGCTACAGGGTTTCGTTTCAGGGTGATGGAAATGTTCTAGAATTAGAGAGTGGTGATGGGTACAAAACACAGTGAATCTACTAAAGACCAATTTGAAATGGTGAATTTCATATTTTATGAATTATATGTCAACTATAAAAAAAAAAAGAATGACTCTTGAAGCAAGAGGCTCCAGAAGTCAGCCTCCCTGAGGTGTGGACACCTGCCCTCTACCTTGCCAAAAGCCTCACACCATCATGCTGAGCTGAGGGCCCCACAGGGGCAGGACGCATCAGGTGGCACGCTGGGCACGCTGCCTGACATGTAGCAGGTGCCCAGCCACGTGGCATGACAGGATTTGGCTTCTGCCAACCTCCCTGTCCTCACGTCTCCAGGTCCTCTGCTCTACTCACTGTGCTTGGGCCACACTGGCTTCCTTCCTGCTCCACAGATATGCAAAGGGTTTAGCTTCCACAGGGCCGGTGCACCTGCTATTCTCTCTGCTTTCAGCATTCTCCCCTTAGGTAACCACTTCGTCTCTGCTCTACCATTATCTGCTTGGCGAGGTCCACCCTGTCTGTAAGAGCACCCCTCCTTGCTGGTTCCCCAGCCTGCTACCCTTTTCTCCACAGCAGTAATCATCACTTAATATCAAAGTAAGAATAAACTGATCTGTTCGTTATCAGTCTTCCCTACTTACTGAGCACAGGGTCTTGGTTCCAGGCTCAAACACTACCTGGGTCATAGTAAGTGATCTTGATGAATGAATTCTTTTATTCAACTAATCACAACTGAGTTTCTGCTATAACCTTCTACAATAAAGGACAGAAATGAAATTGGTTTCTGTCCTATAGGAACCCTGAGTTTAGTTAATAATTTACCTGAGATTAGAGCACACATCTTAAGACAGCCTTGGTATTTTTGGCATTTTCTCTTGGGTTGCTTAACTAGTCATACTTGTTATGACAGGTAGGCAACTGTTGACCTAGGGAACACACACACTCCTCCTTGTCCTCCCTGAGCTTGGCTGACCTCAGGATTAAACTTCCTACAAGAAGACTGACTTCAGAAGTGGCACAAGTTTTGCTTGGACCGTGTAATGTGGTTAAAAAAAAAAAATCTGAGCTTACATTTACCAATGGGAAGTAGTCATCAAAAACAAAACCAAACCAAAAAAACCCGGAGTTCTGGCTCCTCCTAGAAATCAGAAGATTTGACGTGACGGGTGGGCCAGGATTCCCACCCAGGAACAAGGGCTTCCTCCTGCTCCCAACAGCCCCAGAGCCTCCAGCTCCATCTTCCCTTTGGCCCCTGTTTCCTGCCTGCTCCCAGCAGGATGTGAGATTCGGAGAGAAGAACAGGAATCTCAAAACAGCCTTGGGGCTCTTTTTTTCTCAGGGAGCTTGAGCATCTTTTTGGGTGACACCTGCCACCCCGGGCAGTACAAATGTACCCCTTTCTTCAAGAACCACGCATTCTCCACCCTGGGCCCCATGAGAAGAACTCTTTTTCTGTCTCCCTGCTCCTTCCCTGGAGAAGGGTCCTCTCCCTGCCAGCCTCACCTGCCCACTCCAGCATGTCCTCGATATTCTCTGCTGCCCCGGGCACAAGGCGAGTCTGATCTGTATCCTCCAGCCTCAGGATGAAACTCCCTTGGTGCTTCTTGGCAAAGATGTAGTTGTACAAGGCAGTGCGAAGGCCGCCCAGGTGCAGGAAGCCTGGTAGAAGAAGAGAACAGCTCAGATGAGACGGGGAAGATGAGCTGATGGGCCTCAGCCAAGGGACAAGTTAAGTTCTGCTCGTGACAGAAGGGTCCAGGGAGTATCAAAGCCCAAGAGATGGTTATCCCTGTCCCATCTCTCCAGCCGGCATCCAGACAGTCAGACTGCCACAGGAGAGGACTGAGGAGGCTGCCTCATTTACCCTCATCCTGGAAGTAGAAGAAAACCCAAGTTTCGGAGCAGGCCATTTCATAAAGAGGCTCCGACTCTCCCCAATTGCACCTGTCATTCTACTTTGAGGTTTGCTAAGGTTAAGTCTGACCCAAAGGGGAAGAAGGTTATTCACTGAAGCCATGTCACACGTGCATTTAACTTACACAAATTCAGTGAAGTGCTTGGGCAAAAAATAAATAAATAAATAAAAATTAAATACTATAAAGTTACATTTTGCATATGCCTTCTGCTCACTACACGTGACTATCCACCTCATATATTTTGAATTTTGTCTACCTGACACTCTAGCATTTTTTTTTTTGGTGTGGGTAACTAGGTTTATTTATTTTTTACTTAATGGAGGTGCTGGGGATTGAACCCAGAACCTTATGCATGCTAAGCATGCACTCTACCACTGAGCTATACCCTCCCTACAATCTGACACTTTAATTGCTGGCTTTAGATACTAACCAAAAGTAACATTCAATTCCACTGTATTTCTCCTTACCCAAGTTTAAACTCTCATGATTTTACTTCTTCCTCACCTTGCCTTCTTGGCCCTCTCTCCACAATGAGCTCACCTGCATCTCCAGGTCCAGGAGGCAGCACAGGATATGAAATGCTCCTCTGGGGTCAGATAGACTCCAGCTCAGCACCATTTATGTGTGTGACCTTCAGCCAGCTAGTCACCACAAAATCAGAGGTCCCCAAGATAGAAGACAGGGGTGCAGTACCTGAAAGCCAGACCTCTTATATCAGATAGACCTGAATTCAAATTCTGCATCCACCATTTACCAGATGCTACCCCTTGTGCACTCTATTTGACTTTTGTGAGCTTCAGTTTTCTAATTTTTTAGAAAGATCGAAAACAAATAGAAACCTTCCTTACAAGGTTGCTGTGAAGCATAAATGCTGACCAGAGGACACTATTTAATTAATTTTAACTATTATAGTAATCTATGTTACACAATAATTTTTCTATCTGTAGTCAACAGCCTTGCCCATATGGTCTTTTCCTGCAAATCAGCAAGGAAACATGGATTAAAATCATAATGGAGGGGTTTAAGTTCTTTCTATTAGTAACAGATCTTGCCAAGTGCCTCAGTTGCATTAGCTCAAACCACAAGATAGGTATCATTACTAGCCCTGTTTGACAGAGAGTGAAACTCAGAAGCTCAGAGAGGTTAAATACTTTGCCCAAGTCACACAGATAGGAAGTGGCTAAGCCAGAAATTTGGACTCAGACAATCCCAGGCTCAGACAATCCCAAACCGGGTACTTGTCTGCAAACCTTTGGCAGTTCACAACCAAGTAAGTATAGAAATTGCAAGTAAATGTTTAGAAACTTATAGCAATTTTGACAAAATAATTTTATGTCTGTTGAATCTAATAAAAAGAAAGTCTCATATTTTGTATGCTTCTAAGAGTTTCCTTTTCCTAGTAATATCTTTATATCCATTTTATAAGAGTATTAATCCATAATCCGTTGGAAATCAGAAACCAGTCCTTTCACCAAGGGTGGTTTGAGAAACATGCTCTACTCTATAATGCCTACCAAGAAAGATCCTTGTCACTCTATGCACCTGGGATCTTGCCACAAATGTAGCTTTGTGACCCTGGGGTTCAGAATGAGAGGGATGTTTGGTGTGAAGAGGGCACGAGGTAGCCCTGGTGAGAAAAGAATATGGGTATACAGGGCCTATGTACCTGCAACTTCCTCTGCCCAGAAGGTTCTTCCCATAGGCCTCACATACCTAGATTCTTCATGTCATTTGGTTCTCAGCTCTTACGTCACCTCAGCAAGGCATTCTTGACTATCCTAAGTAACTCCCCGTCCCCTATCCTGCTTCATTTCCTGCACGGCACATGTGACTGTTTAAAAGTAGTTATTTTTATTCGTGTTTGTCGCGGCCACTACAGTGTAGGCTTCTTGAGAGAAGGGGCCCTACTTTCCCCATGACCACTGCATCCCATAGCCTAGAACAGTGGGTATTCAATACACGCTTATTGACTATACACAACAAAAGAGGGACCCAAGGAAAGGTTACAGCACAATAAACACGAAATTTCTGGAAATGCGAAAGATTTCCGCTCGTAAACCTGTTTCTTCCTCTCTAAAACGATGTCTAACTGCCCGCCCAGTCTGACTCCACCGGAAGGAATTCGTCGGGGAACATCTGGGGGGCGGGCAAGAGACGGTGGGCCCCGGCCTGCAGCGTCACGTCCGCCAAAGTTACCTGTGGGACTGGGGGCGAACCGTACTCGCACAGCAACCCCGGGATCAGTGCCCAGGCTGGCCTCGCGCCGTCCAACGGGGCGGCCCAAGGCCGCCGGGGGCCTACCGGGCTGCAGCAGCCTCTTCAGAAGTACCGCCATGTGGGGTGGAAGCTCACACGTGGACCTCTCCGTGCATCACTTCCGGGGATTCCTCTCAGCCAATCCGTTTCCGCCACAGCAGGCGCAACCCCGCCCCTTAAAGGCGCAGGCCTTCTAGCCTGCAAGCCCACGCCCCCCTGCACGGCTGCGGCGCCACTCGGCCTCCAGGGGGCAGAGCCCCGCGAGCGTGCGATTTCCCGGGCCCGCCCCCTTCGAGTCCCGAAAGCTAAAGCGTGGCAGGGGCCGGGCCGGGGAAGCGGAGGAGGCGGGTCTCCATAGAAACCTCCACCTGTTTCCGGCCAGACTGTGCGAGATTAGGGGCTGTTGCGGGGGCCAATCTCAGCCAGTTCGCCTTTTCCCGGCGGCCCCTGCGGGAGCGGTGGGTGTTGTACACAATCATCATGGCGGCGGCCGGAGCCCCGGATGGTGAGTGTGGAGGGGGTGGCGGGCGCCCGGGATGGGCTGAGGTGAAGCAGGCGCTCCGGGGGGAATGCGGCCTGGCGCGCGGGGGGAGTAGCCTGGCTCGGGAGCGGCGGTCCGGCAGCGCCCGGGCAGAGTCCGGTCCCAGGCCCAGCCCGCGGCGAGCGCCCACCCCCTGACCCCCTGCAGGCATGGAGGAGCCTGGCATGGACACGGAGGCAGAGACCGTGGCGACCGAGGCGCCCGCGCGCCCCCTCAACTGCGTGGAGGCCGAAGCCGCGGCGGGGGCGGCGGCCGAGGACTCCTGCGCTGCGCGAGGCAGCCTGCAGCCGGCCCCGGCCCAGCCCCCTGGGGACCCCGGGGCCCAGGCCTCGGTCAGCAACGGCGAGGACGCCGGCGGCGGCGCGGGCAAGGAGCTGGTGGACCTGAAGATCATCTGGAACAAGACTAAGCACGACGTGAAGTTCCCCCTGGACAGCACAGGCTCCGAGCTAAAACAGAAGATTCACTCGATTACAGGTAATCCCCGTGGCGGTGACAGCCTTCCTCACCTCACCTGCAGGTGCCTAGTGTTTGCACGGTGCTGGGCCCTCGCGCTGGCCACTTTCCTTGCATTAGCCTCCTTAATGCTAACAACAGCTCTCCCAAGTAAGTACTGATGTGCCCATTCTTCATATGGGGAAAATGAGACCCAAAATCAGAGCTAGTAAATGGCTGAGCTAGGATTCAGACCCAGCTCTGACTCTTAGGCCCAAGTTTCTAACTAGTGTTGCCCAAACATCTCAATAAAAATCACCAGAGGCACTTGTTAATTTTACAGTTCCTAGGCCCGTCCCGCTGGAGATTTTTATTCAGTGGGTCTGGAATGTGGCCAGAGATTATTTTTAGCAAATGTCTTAGGTAATTCTAATAAGGGAAGTTTAGGAAACACTGCTGTTGGCTTTCATGCTGGCCCCTTCACAGATGCTCCTGTTACTTAATTTTATCTCATTTACAGCACTTTGCCATCTGAAACGATTTCCTTTTTAAGCTTTCTCCATGTAGCTTGTAAGCGCGGTAAAAACAGAAACCTTATGGGTTTCTATATCCCTGAGGCCTTAATACAGGAGTGATGGGATGGTTGAGAAACAGCTTGGAATGAATGATAGCTAATAGTTATGGAACAATTACTGGATACCAGGTACTGCACTAGATGCTACATACTTGTCCTATTTCTTTGTTCTTAAAAGAAGTTCATACAGAAGGAACTATTGTCATCTCTATTATGAGGTACTGGAGGCTCAGAGAGGTTGTAAATTGCTCAAGTGCCCAAAAGTAATTGGCGATAGAGCAGTATTCACTTTCACATCTGTTCAAGTATATTTTTTCGTTTCTTCCTTTCACCGTCCTCTACCTTTTCGCAAGGTCTCCCGCCTGCCATGCAGAAAGTCATGTATAAAGGCCTTGTCCCCGAGGATAAGACGTTGAGAGAAATAAAAGTGACCAGCGGGGCCAAGATCATGGTGGTTGGCTCCACGATAAATGACGTTTTAGCAGTAAACACGCCCAAAGATGCGGCCCAGCAGGATGCCAAGGCCGAAGAGAACAAGAAGGAGCCTCTCTGCAGGCAGAAAGTGAGTCCGTCGTGTGGTTGTTAGTCCTGGGAAGTGTGAGGCTTTGTCCTCTCGAGCCTAGGCTGGTTGTATTCTCCCTAGAATAAGCTCCTTTTCGGACAGGGCCCATGATGGAAATTTATGGCAGCAGTTGGGTGCGGCTGGCTGTTGAGTGGAGGTGACAACTACCTGAGATTTGCATCTTTGTCTCATCTGGCGGGTCAGTGTGTCTCAAGTCTATCTACTTTAGGATAAGGCCTTTGTAAAGGCAGGCTTCAGGCAAGATATTGAAAGGAAGCAGATGTGGGTTTCTCTCCTCTTTAGTGCCAGAGAAAAATGCCACTATTAGAATTAACCCTCCATTTTGTACAAGTGCTCACATTTGTTTTTTGACTTGTGGCTTTCCCCGAGTCAACAAGCCCTTTTCTGGTTAAGGTTGGAAATCAATAGCTTTCAGAGGTTCCTCTGAAACTGACTGTTTCAGGAAGCCAAATGAAGCTGACTAGGAAGATAACGACACTGATTTTTTTTTTTCCCTTCCTGGTCCATGAAATGGGGGCCTGATTTTTCACATGTGCTGTTGCTCATCTTGGATCGAAGAGATCCAGCTTTGTTTTGTGCTTATTGTAACCATTCAAATTCTTTTGGTAATTGGGAAAAGTAAGAGTATTTCACTGTAGAAGGAACTGGTTAGAAGAACCCTACTTACCCTTTAATCACCCAGCAAACCCCTACGTTTTTATCGGGCCTACTAACACTCTTAGTAGTGTTACAGAAAAATAGATATGCTCAACTCAGCCTGTGTCCTAAGTAGACCAACTTGAACCAACATCAATTTTAGTGACCATAGGCACCAGGGCACATGGCCAGCAGTGTGAGAGGGACACAGGTTACGTTACAGGGCCATAATCCCTTACGTGTGCTTCCAAAACCCAAAAAGAATCTGAAAACCAGAAGTATTTTTGACAAATTTGGCAGCAAAACCTGACCAGGATTAGCGTGAATATTCATGTTTTGCTCTAGAAATAGTAACATGTTTGCAACATTGTAAAATGATTATAAATCAATAAAAAATGTT